TGCATAACCATCAGTTTAGTAGATCACATCGTAACCACAAGCCAACCAGATGTCCCTAAAGCACAACGATTCGCCTTACAGGCTAAGACTAGCAGAAGACGAATTCTACCATATGTCCACTCTTAGCATTATTCGACTACTGAGTAGCCCATGAACGTCTGCAATTCACATGGTTCAGAAAAAAGAAAACAACGATTTACTACTATACACCGCAGGAACAGAGTACGGTACATTCGATAGAGGACTTCTGGATGTGTATTGTGCTATACGCCACTTCCGACATTCGTTGGAGTGTTATGAATGCATAATTTTCACTGACCAGAAACATCTCATGTACTTGATGAACCCGACATCAACCTGTCATTCACCAAAGGAACCATGCCAACTAGATTACGATTCACAGTTTACACACAAAATGTTCCCCACGTGCCTGTTGTCAACGATACTGGGAGAAGATTTGCTATCCATCCGTTACTTTGTTTAAACAGATGTTGAAGATCTTGTGAAACCGGCTCACCTTAAAATAAGCATACCAGAGTTCGCCACGAGTTGTCGACAACGATTCAGTAATTAATCAAGAAACCACTGGGTATAAATAGATACACCATTCTTTTCGACACTTCTACCAGTTTTCCCCATCCTATCTTGTTTAATAGTTTTCGCCCTAATGTCTTCAATGCTTATCTCACCCAGGAATAAGAACCACTTTCAAGATAATCACTAGTTGGCCTTATTTACCTTGTATAAATAGGGAAGTATGGCTTAGGGCTTGTACATGTCTGGCGTGCAAAAAGTGCAAAGTAATATGACATGCGAAAAATCCCCTTGGCAATTTTTATACTCCGGATGCCAGCTTTGAACATATAAATCTGGTTGGACTCTTCTCAGAGTACCATAGATCCATATCTCTGTCTGTACTGGCCGTTCCACTTGATGGCTTGAAACAGTATCTGCTAATGTAGTCGCGTGCGTTCTTGTGAGACAGTGGATCGCGAAATTCTGATGCCCATTTTCCATGACAACCGGTTGCCGGGAGCAGTATAAAGTGGTCCTTGACAAAAATCCTGGTCTGCGTGGTTTCAAAACAATGGCCTACCATCCTCAAGTGAAAGGTATGGTAGAGGGCTATTACTGAAAAATGAAGGCTGGGTTATCGGCTGCAAATACCGCATGTTGGACTGAATCAGTATACTTAATCCTCTTTGAGATACTAAACGTTTTGGAAAACTCTGCTGGCTGGCGGGAGGCTGCGGAAACTCCATTAGTATCGACTGTCTGAAATGTGCCTTCATAAAGCACAACCCTACGAAACCTGAATCAGTCATTCCGAATAATACGCAACCAATTGAATGTCACCTAGTATTCGAAAAACCAGCGGTGAAGGCAACCGAAGCCTTTAACGAGGCTCAAAATAAAAACACGCTCTGGATGATACGTGAGGTTCCTAGACCACCATGCTTTTCTTACAGTGTAAGACAAACTTGCCCACTTTTCAAAAAGTGGTCTGCTCTGCTTCTGGCACTTTATTTTACGTTCACGGACATTTTCATTACATACCGCATCATAAATAAAGCGTTTGTCTTATGACCTCACATGTAACGCATGAAGTGCTTGAAAGCATTTTTCGACGCTCTATTTTTCGAATAGTTTATGTTCGTGCCAACTCAAAACCCACCTTTGATAATTCTCTCCCAGAGAGGTTCTCAGTATTCATGTTCTCTTTTCTAAGTGCGACGGGTACGGGGCGGGAGGCAAACGGAGCACACCCATTGGTAGAGCTTTACTAATGGAAGCAACGGCAGTCAATAAGAGAATTGGGGACGGACGTCTTATTAAGCAGAAAAGCATCATATTTATTCATTTTCAAACGCATTAAAACTCGGCCAGGTCAGCGGACAATGAACTACTCTGGCATTTTGGTCACCGTCCCAAGGTTAAACGATGAGACGAAAATTTGTCCAGTGAGTTTATTTCATGACTATAACGTAAAATATGTCCGGATTTGAGGAATAAATACTTCAACCTCTGCAACCATTGACTAAATACGCTAATTTCAACTTTTGGCTGCTCCCAACCAATCCGCATATGTACAGCACATACTAAACTTGTCCCTTCATCATATGGTTTATTATGGAGCCCCCGTGAATTCCTGGTGACATCACCCTCTTGCATTCTGTCATCGACTCGCTTATCCCACTGTGTCCATCTCCAGGGTAGAGTAAGCTGAATGTGACCACCTGGTTCAGATGAGGATTGTTTGGCCCTCGAGGAATCACTGGGCTTCACCGTAACGCATGGTATCCAAGATAAGCCAGCCCGTTTGGAGCTCCTAAATGAGCAAACCATCTCAGACAGGTACCCAGTACCGCACATTCATGACTTTGCTAATAGTCTTTAAGACACTACAGTATTCAATAAAACTGACTTAGTTCCCCCTATCACGCATTATGGTGGCTGAGGAGATAATCTACTAGTGGAATAGGGACGACGGATAGCCACACCTTATTAGCTGAGATAAAAGTTTGCGCTGGATCTAGTGATCGCGCCGGAATATCTACCGCACCTACCACGAATGGGATGGATGGGAGATTAAAAGGAAATATTCACGCAATGCACTACAGACTGCAGATAGCCTGAGAAATATATAGCAATTGAAAATATTTATATTAGCCTTGATATTTCCCAATAGGTGATTTGTTACAGGAGGCGTACACAAATGTATAAATGAATATATATGCGGTGACCCTTTTTTGCTTATCCGCACTAAAGCTTTTAGTCCTTCTTCGAATTTTACCAAATGATGAATACATTCGTTGTCGATGCAGTTGAAGATTGAACGACCAATTCATGGTTGTTTGCTCAAACCCAACTTCCCTATATTTTCGCGGAGGCATCAATACACCAGTCATCGTCTCATCGATCGCTGTTCAGAAAGCACGTACAAAACCGTGGGAAGTAATATCGTGATTTATTATTGTAATATATGTTCATATACCCTAGTTTATTATGCTGCTCATATGTTGGTGTTAGAATAAAGAATTCTGGAGTCGCCAATCGGTGTTTTGGCTTTTGCGTCCGTTAGTACTAAGCGTTTCTGAAAGGCTTCAAGGGACAGCGAGAGGCCTGGCGTAGCAAGGGCTGGGCATTAACGGTTTTTGAGACGTGATTGATACACATACTAAAAGAAGGAATAAAAATACAGGCTAAACAGCGCATTTTGCCCTAATAGAACACTACATAAACAAATATCCTCCCTGAAATAACTTCTGAAATTGTAAGCGACACCTTAAATTTTTTGTGAATGTGATACTCACTGATTGATATTCAACTTGGCTGGTCTATTGTGAGTTGACTTAGGCGTTTTCAAATAATTTATGTACTTTGCTCCTTCCGAAACAGGCATGGTGTGCATGTGTTGAAGGGACTCATCTGGCTAGCAATATCTGACCTACGAAGTCGAGGATTGATCACGATAGACAACGTCGCTGAAGTTTACTTATAAAATGTGATATCCAGGTTGACAAGCCGAATTAATTGCAAAAATAGGAGATGCATGTGAACATGTATTTCATGAACAAATTGTTCAAGACCTAGTGAATCACGAAAGTACATTAATCATGTAATACACTTGAGTAGATCACAGAAAGACATTAAAAACGTAGAGGCTCAATTTATTTGCACTTCTGGTGCTTCTGTTTTCACTAGTTAATAACTGCCTACTTAGTAGCCCTAAAATCCATGGGACAGACTGTGTGGTGGGAGACAGTATAGAAGAACAATAGTAATTTTTATTTTGTTCTCCAAAATATTTGTTGAATCAAACCTCAAAACTACACAAATAACTACAGGAGATTCAGGTAATTTACGACTGTTAAACTCTTTATTCACTAACTTCAACGCAATTATAATTCCTTGACGTTCTAGTGAGATACAACGTTATTACTTCCTGCTCAGATAACTTTTATGAACCTGTGAAGAAGAGCCGCAGTATAACCTGACTGCTCAATACAACTGACTATATAGAATTGGGTCTTTAAACACTAGGTGATCAATAGTATTAAGTTAAAAACAGGACTATTTCAAAATGGCTATAGTAACAACAGGTCATTATGGTCTCCACTATGTCAAGCAATATTTTATTTCGGAGAGAACCTGAAACTCGGGTGTGGTTCCATATGTTTCTTTTCGAATTTCTACACTTGAATTGTACTCCCAGCGGTAGTGATTGATGTGCAGTTATTGATTAGCTCTACGTAGGGGATACACTATCGTAAGCTGGCATGCACAACTCATTCAGGTGACTGATAATTTCCTCAGACTCGTATAATGCTCTCTACTACTGTCACTCACACCTATTTCCAATAAGTAACCAAATTGATTTGATTTTTGATTACAGCTTGATTCCACACCGTATTTTTGGTGCAAGTATGAAATTTTCAGATGGATGTCGGTAGCGCAAATTTCTCAGGCCGACCATAGATATCAGGTGTGCGTCGGCGTGGGCTCGAACCCCGGACCATGTACATTTGCCTTTTTACCCATTACTACTGGCATCACCTTTTACAGACCTCTTTCAGGAAAAAGTAAACGTTTAATAGTTATTTTTATTCTTTTGAAATGAACTATTTATATATTGTAATCATTATTAGCACTCGTTTTTACCCATGGTAATCCATATTCTGTCACAAACTGCGAATTAAATTCCGACACACCTTTCTTTGAACGTGGTGGTGTCTGTCGGCTTTCATTGAGTAATCACTGCGTCTACACAATTGTTGTCCATTCGCCCAGATTGACTGAAAGGAGATTATAATCACCAAATGCGTTTGGGTGTCGAGAGGGTGAACAATGCAACAGAAACAAAACTGATTACCAAATGCTGGATAAAATTATGTAGTTTCAAGAATCAATGAAAGAATGTTAAGTGGCTTACACCAGCCAGTTACAGGCACATTGGATATTGAAGGTAAATTAGCGGGCTATAGCTACTTAGCGGTGCGATGTTCCAGGTAGTAAATTCTTGTCTTTTTAACTTTGTGTATATCACGCTTACAGTGTTTTAGGCTATTAAGACAAATCCCGAAAATAGCTCGCAGTCATTCCCTCTTTACTCGGTGTACAGTCAAAAATCCGAAATTCCATAATGATGTTAATATATTAATACACCATAACGATGCTCTGGAGAAAAAATACGTTATCAAAGATTCACCAGAATCTCCGAAAATGTTAACAAGTATTTTGGGAATGACACTTCACTTAGGAATAACCGAATCAAATAACCTCGATAGATATCCATCACAAAATATAGTTCCCATTCAACTAAAGAATGATATCAAAAACCGCAGACGAAAAATGAAAATTCATCAGAAAAGAAGATTGCAAAAGCGTCACGCAGTGCTAACGCGTAAGCTGCAGCTGATGAGGGAGAAAAAGGAGGAGAAAAAACTGCAGGAACTGTTTGAATTTTGGAGGATCCGTTCAGAAGCATGGGATCCAGCTGAAAAAGTTGAAAATAGATTACATTTGGCCCGAAGATCAGGTTATTACGTTGATATACTTAAAACTAAAGGCAGTCCATTCTTAAAGGAATAAATGATTTCAAATAAATCTCTTGTTCTGATTTGTACCTTGTTTCGCATGATTAAAGTCGCAAGTTTCATTGTAGGAACCGAGTGAAAATCGAGTATACGCAAGAGACCTCTCAAACCCAATATATGCATCCAGATGTGGTCAAGAAGCGTTACAAGACATGCTGAGTGGATTAAGAGACTTAATGCTGTTATTTTATGCCTGCATGGACCCAAAGAACAGAAGTATGAGTACTCATCAAGCTTCAGTTGCTGGACCCCAATGTTCTGAAACCTTGCAACAAATGAAAAACAATAAAGAACTATTAAAACAGGTGAAGATTCGTATTTTAGTGTTTTTATTAGTCTACAGATACGTATGTACATATATGTTGAGTGGATTTATTTAATGCTACACATTTATACTATGTGCTTCGTTAAGCTTAATGTTACTTTATGGAACTGTGCTATACTACAGTTTCTAGGTTCCAAGATTCTTCTTGCAACAGGCTATGAACCTTCCTTATTTTAAAGACCGAATATTCGGATGGGCTGAGTTTTAAAAAAAGGTGGCAGCTGAACCTACTCTCCACCAGCTGTTACAGAAGTGTTAAAGCTAAGGGTTACATCCCCACCGACGAAGTTCCGACGTTAAGTGTTACTGGTTTCTATAGTGTAAATCGTGCATTCAGTTTATTTATCATTATGCCATTGGTCTCTGGCTGATTTATTTCTGACTTCCTGGCAAAACGCTCATGAACCTAGCATGGTTTTTCACTCAAGTTCTTATGATGTAGACAGTTAAGAGATGTCATTTAAACACATTCTCCCAACAGTTTCGAAGGGCACTGAGACTATCATAAGTCTTGTCATCGTTATGTAGTAAACTTCCCTGAAAATTTTCCGCCGGATTCACAATAAGCCAGAGACCTTCACTATTCAAAACTTTAACAGCTATTCTGAAGCATACCTAGATGGCTACAATGTGGTTAATCATGTGAATTCACCGAGTTAAATTGGGGATTATGGGGATAGCATAGACGACCTTGTAGACGTAATTATGAAAAACTAACTGAATAATGCCAGCTCCTACTAGAAACCAAAAGTCGTCTTAGCAAGTGACTTAGGGGAACAAAGGTACGTGAAATGCTAGGAAAAGTTTCCAAATGCTACTTTTGGAAACCCAGTGTAGTGAACGGATAGCGGTAGTTGCGTGCTACAACTGTGTTCTGATAATCATCTATTTCTTACGACCACAACTTTAAATGAGGTTTTCCTACTTCGGATGCAGAAAGATACCTAATGTTTGTCGCCAGTGATTAACAAACAAGTCTTTTGAGACATTTTCTACATGAATGATTATACTAAGGTTTGCGCTTAGACGTCCGCTCGCAAGAAATGTACTTTTGAGCGGGAAAATCACCATTTCACCATAAAAATAAACAGTTGTGTCACTAAGAGACCAGAGGATTTTAATCCCTTGCTTCGAAGTGTTGTTCACATAGTGATGCATTCCTGTGAACTTTAATCACTGTCGGAAGGAAATTCGGATGAAATATAGATTTATTAAGTTAACTCAGGTGCCGTAAATAACAGTTAGCAGGGAATAGATGTATTTTATGGGGGTAGCCAACTAAACTTACCAAAGGTAGGACATAAAAGGCATAGTGTTTGTGAAATCGGTCTCCCAAGATTAAATATGAGTTAATTTACTAGGTAATTGAGTGAAACTACGCTTGGAACACTTAAGAAATAGTTCGATTTATCTTTATTAACGTCTTAGCATCTCACTGTGCTATCGGAATTTGAATGGGATATTCGTTATTCTGTAGCAATACGAAGTTTGTTCGGTGTTGCTTAAATTGTGTACAGGTCATAGATGCAACTTTCCATGGAGATCTAAATAAAGTGAGCATCAATAGGCTTTACAGGCCATCACCAGTGAATATGTAAAACCGAAGGAAATTTATTTCACCGCCATCACTTCCACAACATTGTGAAGATGGTGTGTGACAACCATACGAAGATTAAGCGTGGGATTCAAGGTGTTATTTTGCTTTTGAATGTATACTTTTTGGGGCGAATAATATGTGTCTACACATATTATCCACTGGAACTTATAATGTCAGGGAAGCTAAGACTGAGCTAGGCGTTAGTGTACACAGACAGAATAACTGAATGGTGATACTGAGCCTTCGGATGATTGTAACATGTTTGCTTCGCGTCCATAAAACAATCAAACTCACTGGATAAAGACTGTAAAATGTGGCACTACAAATAGATCGCTGTAGAGGAGATGTATCCTCTATTTGTTTTCAAGTCTTTTTGTCTCCTAATAATTCATGTGCATGTTTCCTATGTAATAATTAGTAACTCCATAGACAAAATTTAAGATGAGACCTAGACCCTTAACTAACTACCAATCAATTCACTCATTTCCTTATGAGAACTAACTTGTGACCTGGGAGATCAGACGTAGTACTCCAAATGTAAAGTAAGCGGGGGGGGGTATTCAGTGGGTTAACTGTAATTAAATGTTGGATAGCGCTCGAAAATGTTGGAGCGGTTTAAGTCAGAATCACAGATATGATCCTGTCTTAATTTAATGCATTTGTATATCTGCCTTTTTATCACTTCATTTAAACCACTCAAGTGTATTACTGACTTTCTTATCTTATGTTGTGAATTGGCTTTATAAACCATGAAGGTAGAAATAAAAGGTCCTATACGGCGAAATCAGAAGTCCTGAATGCAATCAAGATGCTTAAAGCTGGGAAAACACCGGGACCAGATGGAATCCCAGCAGAAGCTTTGAAAATAGACCCAGAGACAACAGCGGACTTGATGACACCACTGCTGGAGAAGGTGTGGAAAGAGGGCAAAGTACCCGAGGATTGGAAGAACGGATACTTATTCAAACTTCCAAAGAAAGGAGACTTAAGTCAATGTAAAAACTGGCGTGGAATTATGCTTCTGTCCATTCCAAGCAAGATACTAAGTCGCATCATCCTGGAGAGAATCAAACAAGCCCTAGATGAAAAACTTCGTCCGGAACAGGCTGGATTCAGGAGAAACAAATCATGTATTGATCAAATCGCCACTCTACGGATCATCATTGAACAAAGCTTGGAATGGCAGTCACCTCTCTATCTCAACTTCATCGACTTTGAAAAGGCCTTCGACAGCGTCGATCGAGAGGTCATTTGGAAACTACTTCGCTACTACGGGGTCCCATCGACAATTATACACCTCATCCAACAGTTATACGACAATGCTGCATGCCAAGTAATCCACAACGGGAAACTTACGGAAGCCTTCGAAGTGAGGACGGGAGTGAGGCAAGGCTGTCTACTATCACCAATGATCTTCCTGATTGCAATTGATTGGATAATGCGACAGACAACGGCAACCAACGAGGGAACAGGCATAAAATGGACTGACACAAAAGACTTGGAGGATCTGGATTTCGCCGATGATATATGTCTGATTTCCCATAAACTGGAAGATATGCAAGTGAAAAGTAACAAGTTGGCAGAAGAAGCATCAAAGATAGGACTTCACGTGAACATAGAAAAAACAGAGATGATGAAGATTCCTAGCCAACATCAACAGCAACAACAACAGACAACAATCAGCATAAATGGGAAGAACCTGAAAGAAACAACCTCCTTCACCTACCTGGGAAGCATCGTCTCAACTACAGGCGGAACTGACGAGGACATCAAAGCCAGAATCGGAAAAGCAAGACAAGCTTTCATTACTCTCAAATCTGTGTGGAGGTCAACAGCACTCAGCATCAAAAATAAGATCCGGATTTTCAACTCCAATGTGAAGTCAGTGCTACTATACGGATCAGAGACTTGGCGAGTCATAAAGAGCATCTCAAACAAACTTCAAACCTTCATTAACAGCTGTCTCCGCTCAATACTCAAGATCAGATGGCCAGAAAAGATCAGCAACAGGGATCTCTGGGAGCGAACCAATCAGGAACCGATTGTGAAACAAATAGGCAGAAAGAAATGGAGATGGATTGGCCATACGCTGAGGAAACCATCAAGTGACATCACTAGACAAGCCCTCGAGTGGAACCCGAAAGGGAGGCGGCGAGTTGGTCGTCCAAGGGTGACTTGGAGGAGATCATGCGAGGAGGAGATGAAAGCATGTGGACAGACCTGGAGCAGGGTGAAAAAGTTGTCAGAAAACCGAAGGCAATGGAGGTGCGCAGCTGAAGCCCTATGTTCCTCTAGGAACTAAAGGATACAATAATAATAATAAATAATAATATACGGTTAGACAACTAAATTACATCAGCCTGGGAAAAATTAGGGCTTTCACAGTAAAAATTGGCATTTTCTGTGAGTCCAACCAATAGGGCAGCTTGAAAGCATCCCTTTTAGTGATATCTCACAGAAACTTTACTTATATAAAGATTTTTCGTTTCTGGGATCTGTGAAATTCGATAGCAAAGTATGTGGTGCTTTCCACTCCTTTTTATAATATTAAAACACGATTTTCTGCATAATCATTCTAAAAAATCTGTGACAATTGCGTGCTAGTGTAATTTTGTAACACCAAAGTAAGTGCCTAGTATAGACTTATCCGATGTAGTTAGAGGCTGTCACGAGACAGATTTTTTGAAACTTAATTTTTATTAATTATCTGGTAAACAGTACTTACACCATGCGAGACATAGAACACATGTACATATATATACTGTGTTTTTTACCCTTTAGGCTTTTCGTGCTGTCAAAGAAAGCTGCGATCGTCTACTGCCGTCGGATATGTCCGATCTTATTCCATATGCAGACAAACCTATACAAAGTCGGGAGGTCAGCACAGATATAAAGATACTGATTGCGGCTCGAGAAAAAGCAATCAAAAGACTTCTAGCAGTGACAGCTGAGTTGGAAAAACTGCGTCGTGGTTTAACGAAAACAATATGGGAACTAAACGACTTATCTGACCCATGTATATTAAATTCATAAATATTTCTCTAATACTGACTAAAGTACGTGCGCATAAATACATGTATTGACAAGTGAATCATAAAGAATTCTTGTTCTTTACTTCATCGGATATTCATCCACAAATTAAAATTTAGCTTATAGCTTACCTAATATCTAGCGTGTCGTTTAAAACTTCTGAAGCAATGGAGGTAATACTGATCAACTTTTATTTCATAAAGCCATAATTGATGCACAGATTTAAAAAGATACTGAAATCTAGATGAAAAAGTCGTCCTTTTTACGATATATCACACACCACTTCGGAAGTAAATGTGTCCACTAATCCAAAGTGTACTTCCATTTGTTAAGATTATATGCACGCACACATTCATCGCTGCACAAATAAGTCAAGACGCTGGGTGGGTTCATCCGGTCGGACGATATGTTCCGCCAACTATTGTATGGTACCAAAATACGATAAGGTTCGATACCACAGCTCAAACGGCAACGTAAACATTTCCGAAATACGGCCAAACGAACACGCAGTTTCCAAGGTAAACACTTTTCGAGACATGGATACCTGTATGATTAAGAAAGAAAAATTAAAACATCAAAACAATAAAACCTTAATTTGCAAATTGCCGAGAACATGTCACATACTTGAGGTTATGGCTCTGTCGGTTAGTGGAATTTAGAGCAGAAGATTTCGATGTTGAACATTACTTAGCTTCTTTTTTTATCTAAATAGGAATTATTGATACCTAAATGCAAAGTAATATATAATTTTTATAGATGGGCTCTTGTTGAAAATGTTTTCCTTACGTTTCGCATTCCTCGACGGTGCGTAGCCGCAACGTCAGAAATCTTAACTTTTGTTTATTCGCAAAATAGTGTCATAACAACTAGCTAATCCCCGATACCCATATATCGCAAACCAACTCAAAACATAAGAGAAAAAAAGTCGATGATATTCTTTCTTGGGTTAATTTGCATTTCCCGTTGATTGATTGCAGTGTACTGAAAAGCTCGATGAGTGCAACGTTTTTGTCCCGGTGGGCGTACCATCGCTCACTAACAGTGCATGTACATCTCCACTGGTGAATCTAAAAAAAGGCGAAACGCCCGTTCTGTACTTCACTGCTAGTCACCATGAACCAAAATAACATTGTTACTATAGTCCAGGGTTTCTTCTGTTTGTTAGAGTGAAGTTGACAGGATAGTGGGTGTGAATACTGACGAATTACAAACTATGACAGATTATAAATCATGAAAAATACCCATTTATTCATAAGTAAAAAGTTTTTTTTGTTCAGCGAAGAAATTTCTTTTCAACGACTTCATTTTCAAGCCGTACAGTCGTATTTATATTACAGAAAAAGGTTATTAAGTGGCACTAGATAATTGCTCAGTCAATATACACATATATGTGATAAGAATAACGATAATTAAAATGTTACAAGGCGTAGAGTTGAATTATTAAAGATTGTTTCATAAGTGGATTGATGTCAAAAATGTTTTAAAAATGTCAAGTGTTGTCTAAAAAATTTAAAAAATTAGGAGTACGATTACGATAAGAATGAAGATGTGAAGTGAAGTGGAAAGAATTCAAGTGGTAAAATAAAATAAAAAACTAGAAAGAACATTACTATGACCAAGGTAAAGAAAGGGGTTTGACAAAACGTTTTTGAACACAATTTAAGTTTCTGTTCATGTATAGCTAAAGCTTCGGCTGTGCAGAAGTGAAGAAAACGTAAACTTTTGGATCGATTCGATTTTGCCATGTAGATAACTTTGAAAGATGAAGTCGTTGAAAAGAAATTTCTTCGCTGAACAAAAAAAAAAGAACTGTGTTTTTACTTATGACAGATTAGCGTGTTCAAGTGGTTCTCTAACCAGTGTCATTCTGTGGCGAAATCAACATTTAAATAGCCGATTCCTGACCAAGTTACATGCGAAAACATTCGTGAGGACAACAAGTTTGAGTGAAATTCCCATAGATAACCAACAGATATGCTGCAAACACGTCAGTTTGTCTCTAAATGCAGTATCACTGTTATGCCTACAAGCTTAACAGTAATAACAGCTTAATCCTTTCATATTCTTCAGCTGTTGTAAAAACACACTTATCCATAATTGAATAAGCCTGAAAAAGCACTTAACTCAGGTATATGTACGGACGATACCATCGAAGAAGAAATACAAAACGGTACTAAAATTGTAGTAGATAATAATTATCCCCTAAAATTCACTAAACATTAAAGAAGCACTAAACAAAGGGTCCTGTCGATCCAGTCAGTTTTCATTAAAGCATGATCACCAGATAAAGACTCAGTGCGGCACTCAACAGATCCTGCTCTATGCAGCTGAACTCATTTTCATAGAGAAAGCGAGATTTGTGTTGTCTTATAAACCCATACAGCGTCCGAACGATAGTGTCACATCCCATTATATCTACCAGTTTACATGTACATGTGGTCACAAATACGTAGGGAGGATCCATCAATCTCTACAGGTCAGGGGTACAGGAACAGCCGTTACATTCGTAAGTGGCTGCAAGAACAAGTAAAATCATCTGATAAAATGAAGCCTACAAATAGATATCTAACAATATTTACCGCAAAGCATATCATGGAGTCAGGTCATAAAGCTGATTTCAGTAGTGTCTTGAAACCCATACATAAAACACAATCTTTGAAACAATAGCAATAAAAAGGCTTAAGCCTGTTTTATGTTCAAAAATTATTTGTCATTATTTTAAACCAGCCTTGATAATTCAACTTCCACGACCTTTTTCTACATGTTATCTGTGATTTTCACCTGTAAACATTTTGACTTATATTAGTAAAAATTATAATTTTTTACTTTATTTTTATGTAAATATGTACGACAAGTGCGTGTGTAACCAATGTCAGAAATATGTTGCGCAAATACACTACAGATTTTAGATAAATTGTATCTTCTTGTTTTGTCGAAATTCATAACGGGAACTAATTGCTTTAAAAGCAGTTATATTAACAGTTGATCCCAATGTTCAAGTAGGGAAGCTGTGATAAGCAGAAGGGCAAATTGATGGTACCTATGGAGTTGTACGCAGACAAACTGACAACAGTTATCATCTACAATTCTGTTCAGGTAACCATCTGTTACTCATCAGGACTAAGGAGAGACACTGACCAACCTTGCAACCTCCATTATCAAATCGATCATGGACAGAAATAAATCATGTAGCTTTAAGGTACATATTGATAGAGTCCACAGAATGTCGTTCCTTCAGGAACATCTACGTAGACCTCGTTCAAGCTCATTTCTGAGCACATACAAGCCTATGACTGAGCAGACGTTGAAAACAAGTAGCTACAGAACCCCTGAGGCCAGGACTTTTTGATTAGTGCACAAAGCCTTCATTTAGAGCAGAAATGACTAAACACGTGACTGTGGTCGGCAGCAAGACATTCTGAGGAAGCATGGCATAATATTCAGTCAACTATAGAAACAGTATTAAAGACTGTTGATAATCTGACAATAAAGTTTAGTGAATACTAATCGACTTCTGCAGCTTCATCCAAAATGATGTAGGTACGAAGACTGATTCCGGCGGGTCAGAAAAATGACGAGGAGCGGAGGCTGCTTGAAAGCAAGCTGACTAAAAGTCTCTACAACGACTGTGAACAGTGATGAGCGTCAAAAGACAAGAAGATGAAAAAAGCAGAGACATCGGGCAACACTAGGAATCTACTTATACATAATAAAGAAACGGGTTGTAAGCAATCAGTGGCAACTGAAACGTTTTTTGACAACAGTATTTTATTTACCTCTCAAGACGAACGACTGAAAAGTTGAAGAGAACAATTTGAGAAGCTATTTGACTGGTATAAGTATAAAACTTGGGCACTGTGGTAGAGTAGAACTCCATTATGGATTATGATTATGAGAAGTAGTTTGTGCTCGAAACGTCATCAGTTAATATCACTGTACAACACTGTGTGATTTATCAAAATAAAATCTTATCCATAATGGAACTATTTGACTGGTATAAAGTCACACTGAATTCGCCAAACATCCCAAACTTACCTGCGTGGGATGAAGAAATCGGACCTCTAACCGTAACTGCGGTTACAAAAGTTTTCCTTAGTGTGAGACGAGGCGAAGCAGTGGCACCTGACTGTACGGCTTCAGAGGTTTAAGGATGGTGGAGATGAACTATTGACTAGGTCAATCAAAATATTAAGTAATGTTTGGAAATCAAAGATAATCCCATTGGACTGGTGGAAATAATTATTTATCCCAGTTTATAAGCGAGACAAGCCTTCTTGTGATAATCAATAGGTAATTAGCTTGATTAACATAGTATCTGAAATTCTAGGTTCAATCACTAAGTATAAACTAGGTGATGCTCACGAGAAACAAGCACGTGAGAATCAGGCAGGAACTAGGGCAGGATGTGGGTGTGTTGGATGTATCTTCAGCATTCGACAGGTTCTACAAAGTGGGCATTGTTGAAGGCATCCGAAGTCTGCGGTAGCACTTGAATTCATCGACTTAGACTTGTTGTGGCAACATCTAGTAGTGATAGTAGTGCCGAACTAATCAATGCACTCGACTCGAACTCACTCTTCAGTGTAAGAGCTTACAGACAGTTGTCATCCGAAGTGATGACAACCAGTACTGCCCGTCAAGGGCCCCTGTTGTCTCCATTTTTGTTTAATTTCGTTACAGATGTGCTAGTTGGATTGATCGTAACTAACTTCAAAGACTTAAGGATTGGCTTGTCACCAGGGTATAATCTCGACCAACTTATAGCATACGGATGATGTTGTACTCCTAGGCGAAGACGCTGACAAAATGAGTCTTTTGCACATCTTGAGCAGAAATCTTAGTATGTCCGACATGCGACTTGCCCCTGTCAAATGTAAGATGATGCTGTAGGACTGGTCTGCCTGTCTGTTTTCGACATAGAACTTTGCACAAATGTGCGGAAGTTCAAGTCGCCACACACTGGTCTGCACCGACTCCAAGTTTAAAGATGGTCGGTGGGATGACTGTATTGGTCACTTTATTTATTCGGAACGTTGTATCAGTCCGAAACAGCTGACTGCTGACGAAATCTCAATACGGATACAAAAGGCTCGTGTGGCATTTGCCAACTGACATCATATCAGTCGTAGACGTAATATCCGGCTGTTGATCGAAGGACGTGTGTGCTGAGCAGTAGTCTGCTCTGACATCCTCCATGGCTGTGAGACACGCCAACTGAAAGTGGAACATATAAGAAGGCTAGCTGTCTTTGAACACAAATGTCTGCGTTCTATTTCTAGTGTTAAGTTGTATAATATGATGAATAATAATGAAGTTGGGTTAGCAGGAAAAATTAATCGATTAGGCTAGGAAGCTACATCGATTGAGATGACTAGGACACGTGCTACGCATACCACGACGAGCTATGTTAGCCAGCATGGGATAATATTAGAAAAAACAGTTAAGAGTCATCAAAAACCTGGCATCAATCCACGATGTCTTTGACTGTTTATTTGAGCCATATAGGAAGATGCTGACAGCCTGGTTGGGGTCGATGAGACGCTAAGAATTGATGGTCTGAAACTGCTGGTGATATGACTCAAAATCATTTTCAATGATGCAGATGCATTCACTCCTTATGAATTCCCAGCCCCATCAAGTTCTCATTACACTCTGTCTACTTATTTAATGGTGGGTCCTACCTTTTCATTTAATCGGTGGCTTATTGAAATTGCAAGTACTATTTGATTTTTTCTAGCAACCTCTGTAACGAAATACTGTGACAACAGGAAGAGAAACAAGGATGTGCGAGTGTTTGTGAGCTACCGACACGACGCCTACGTATACGTTATGAAGATTTTAAGAAGCATATAGTTTTTAACTGCGAATCAACCTAATACTGGAGTTGAAATAGTGAAGACAAGTATTTGTGGGTATAAGAAGCAACCTTATGGTATAAAGCCGAAACACAAATGAGAAGGTAAGATAGACTTTAAAGTCATGTTTTTTTTTAATTCTCCTCTGACTCAGTACAACTCTACTCTGAGGTCTCAATTATACAACAAATAATTCAAAAATACTCCTCTTATCTTGCATTAGTTTTCATGTGAATATCTTAGGATTAGGTGGATTCATAAGTGCTACGGATAAACCTGATTCCTTATCATCAATAAAGTACATGAACAAGGAAATAACACAAAAGCATCATCTCGGAAAGTAATCTAGTTGAACAAATACAAACACATAACTCTTATCTGATATTGCAATTACCCCAAAATATAAAATCAAATATAAAGCACAATTTCACCAGCTGTACATGATTTGATTGACCAACTAGTTCTTCTGATCGTTTTCAAGAGGAAGTAAATGGAAAACTTAACATAGAAAACAACTCACCAATTACTACGAACAAAAGCTAAGGAAGCGCAGTCCAACAAGGATGGAGCGACTTTACTTGGTTTCACTTCCGTTTCGGAAGGCAGGAAAGTATTACCGTGTACTGACAATTCATTTAATCGATGAATAGTCAATACTAGTGGCAAAGAATCTAGTTGATTACTATACAAAGTAAGTATAACCAAAAACTGCAACTTGTGTAGATAAGCGGTTGGTATACCACGCAATAGGTTAGCTGTTGGAAAAAATATACAGAGAATGATTATTTATCTCATTATATTAAAGTTAAATCAAAACTACGAGATCACATAACACTCTTCATCAAGTATGTTATAGTTTTACACATTAACATAGTACCACAGTAACTACTGATAAGTTCATTAATCGAACTGCTTACGTGCATCATTCTTTATTGTACAACGTTTAACACACATGCAATAAAATTATCGTAAGCGAAAACTGGACTCAAAAAAACTCGACAAATCGATCGTCGAAAAAACGGTAGCGAATCAAAGTTAAGAAAGAGGCCCCCTCAACTCTTGCTTATCAGCATTTAATAAACTGAATATACGAATTTGAAAACTAAAATACATTGGCTAAATGATATTCGCCTAAAAATTTCCAAGAAATCCATAATATAATGTGACCACAACAATGACTTCTGTAATTTCACTATGAGCCATAATAATGATCAGAAATGTCAATGCAGTGCGTTTTCTTCTGCATTCACAATGTTATTAGATGGGAAAAAGTATCAAACCTGTAAGAAAATAATCAGATTTTTTGTTTTATAACTTACTTTTACTTTCTTCCACAACTTGCTGTTTAATTTGCTTCCTACAGAATCAAACTTTGACAATTCCACGGAGAGTATATGAAACCGCTTATTTGTAATGCAGTAAAATACTTTTTTTACTTGAAAATCGGAAATGTCTATTATGATTGCTAGGAAACGTTTAGCAAATTGCGTATTTTTCAGCAAATTCACAATCGCATATGAAAGTTATTCAACACATTATATTATGGCTACCTAAATTTAAGTGTGACCAACAATAGAACTTTGCACAGAGGTTCATTATCTCAAGTTAACACACTTTCGAACAAACACAAAAATAAAATAGTACGAAACTATAGTGAATGAAGAAGTGCAGATGTGGGAATCAACTGGTGTGTAATAGTAAAAAGTTTTCTAATTAAGATCAGGAGTGACTATATCCCACCTCAGTGGGCAAGTTTTAACATCGGTGCTTAACTTTCTCAAGACTCCATCCAGACAACCTAATGGCAAACACCAACAGTTGATGACTTCGTTGACTGATGCAGTCTTACTCTGACGTTGTAGTTCTTTTTTAGGATAATCCTATTTCAGGTAGCATCGCTCTTCAAAAAGACGATCCCCCGATGTTCCTAGATGTCTCAGCCAGATAATCAATGAAGTTCCGTATCCTGATTGACTGAATTGACTTTTTGCCCCACACAACTTCCAGTCTTGATGTTATTCGATATCTAACCATATCTTGGGTGAGCAGTGAGACGAGAATATATATGGTTTAAAACATGTAATGTCCAAGCTCTGGCATGTGAGTCAAATATTATTATTAAAGTACCAAAAACGTGGGATTATACGAATGTTTATGAAATACAGTTATTCCATCACTACAGTGTGTAGGATCAAAAATAGTAATTACCATTACAACAGTTTCAAAATAAAACATTTGTTTTTTTGCAATAAAGTTTATAAAATACCAGCAATAAAAATATTATTACTGAAAACTATGGCGATAATTAAGACACGAGTACTAAAAAGACATAACTTACAACCATGTAGTGCAGCCGTGTAATGTTTATATCTTCAACAGAAATCTGGACGTGTAGCGGTACAGTGTCAGGATATTTGATTTCTAGTTAATTACAATGATGAATTTCACTCCACCTACTAATGTATAAGAAACTAGCTATTGCGATTCATAATGCAATAATGCAGGCAGATGCCCCTTAACAATGACTAAGACATTTTTCATTTGTATGCAGGATGCATAAAACAAGCAGTAGAGTATAAAAAAAATGATTGTCTTCCCTCAGCAGCTAAAAATATAACTGATATTGCCAAAGAAGAACTTAGGATTGAGAGATAATTAGTGAAAAAAACTTACTTGAAAGATCAACGTTCCTAAGTTTTGAAAGTAGCCAGAAATCATCTGGTAACCAAACCAGCAGATTGTGGGCTAAATTTATATATTCTAAGGATTTACTCAGCGCCGAATTTTCAGGAATTGATGGCCAGCTTGCGAGGAGATTGTTATTCAAGTATAGCTGGACTAAATTGAGATCTTGTATTTCTTGTGGTATTCTTTCCAGATAATTTTTACTTAAATCGAGGGAACGTAGGCAAGATAACTTAAGCATTCTTGTGTCGAACTGACGCAATCTCAACTCTTTCACGCATAATTCCTGTAGAGATGCACTGAAACCCTGGCTGAAAGGATAATCTTCTCGTCTTGTGATACGAAGTCGGTGATGACTACAACTTTGAATCTAAATACATTGGTTAACTATTCAAAGACATACGTCAGTTGAAGCATTGCGTTTTAAAATTCCTCTAGGTAACTTTCTGCCGGATTTTATCAGATCTAAAATTTCGATTAGTCTTCGTAATTCCGACGGTTGAGCCTAAATAAATAACAAATCAAAATATGCCATTTGAGAGACTGAAGACATACAGTTCGATTCTGTACTCCCACAACTAAAGTAAAACTCATTATTTAGCCCAGAAGACACAAAAGTTATTTGGTGACGCATTGTGTGAAGAATAAAGCACTCGATCGTGTCGTCCGAAAGGAAATTAGCGCAACGAACATTACTTATGAGCAGCACAACCACATGTACTTATTAAGGGGTGTACCAATTACACTGCAGAATTCACTATGATATATATATATATATACTGGTACGAATACTGGAAGAATCTGACTCTGACTGACGTGATAGTTAAAGCATACAAGAAACCTCAGATAGCACTGACTTCGGCCGCACTGCAGGAACTCTGAGGCAACGTGCAAATGACTGTCATACGTTCTGCAATGCACTCGAAGATTTTGCCCAGAAAATTCTGCAGTGCGCCTGAAGATGATGCTAGCCGGGACTACCCAGCAACAACTTCGTGTCGAATAAGATATAGCTGATAGGCGGGAAGAGGACTGTTTAACTGCTTTCCATTCTTCGGAGGTGATAAATGAGACAAAATCCAACAAATAACATCCCCAAACATATCAATTTATATGTAAATGTGTTTGTTGTCATACCTTTTGTAGCATAATGTCTTTAGCTGGATTTTTTAGGCGTATTGTTAAACTTCCGTCTTTTACATGACCAATAAATAACTTCTCTATGTTTGCTGATATCTATAAAAGTTAATCCACAGATGCAACAAATTGTTGATTCTCACCTTGTACCGCCGACTAATATTCGAAGAAACGTAAGAGATGTTGACATAAACAATGTCTTCATCTTTATAAAACAATACGGAACTTTCTTTTGGTTTGCCTACAACACGCTGGCAGGCATCCCATTCACTAACCAAAACTTTTGAACATATTCTCATCACCGCCACCTATCAGTTTCAGTATTGTTGATTCGTGCAAACAACCTTCACACTTTCAAGTAATTTCTTCAACTTACATCTAATTACTCTTTTAACTAAATCGTTAATACGTCACGCCTAGCGAAACAGCAGATAGTCTACAAAAATAGAAATTGCATGTACATATAAGTTCTGTTATTAGCACAAGTAATTGATTAAGCATCTCTCTTGATTTTATATTTTTAAAAATATTCACTGTCGTTGCTCCATATTTATGCAGTCTTCCATTCCATATGTCACCGCTAGATTCACCGATGGGAACTTATTCGGTTGCCTTTTCATCCAAGCGCATAGAAATCCTCCACAAACCATCGGCTTCAAAATAGTAATGAATTCCTTTATGTCTGGGCATTACATTAATGTCTTAGTTCTCATCACTATTACCCTAGCTTTTTCCGAGTAGCATTTCTGTGTACATATACTACCGGCTAATACGGATCTTGTCATTTTGTTTATGTAAAGCTACTCTATTCCCTGAAGGAAAATTAGACACGAGCGACAAAAACACATGAGGCACACTTGTGGCATATAGATATCTCTATGTTGGGCACAATGGGCCAGCTGTACTTATACTCAAGCTGTTTACACAGTTATGAATAACCTATGTTTCGCGACATCTTGGCAGTAACTACTATGCTGTGGCATCATTCCTGGATAGAGAAACACATCGATAGAAAAGCAACTGAAATATAGGTTCTATGATGGCCGACTAAAAAGCAATGAACCCCAGAATCATGTTCAAGATCCTATCCAAAATGACTAAACTCAGAATTCCCAAATAGAAAGTAATTACTCAGAGGGAAGTAGGGAGCTCCCCTGCTAATTTTAGGACGAACTAGATGTCAGAGAACACTAATCACATTCGAGTCAGTTGTTTAGCTATCGGAGTGTTCTTCCCATGAAACTCATTGCCAGCCGATCTGGTCACCATTCCTTCAATCGATAGTCCCAGAAGAAGGCTAGAAGACTATGCAACTATGTTTTATCTGTTCAAATATGTTGGGGGATTAGCCAAACTCTAAGGAAATGTTTTGCCCTTCTGATCCTCCGCTTGATTTTCGTCTCATCTTTAGGGTTAAATTCAGCAACTTTCTTTATATTCACTTTTGTCTTGATAGTGTGTCTTCTTTCTAACAACTAATACTTCTATTCTATCATACGTATGTTTTGATAAATTATTATTATTGCTCCCTTGGGTTCCTAGTGGAACATAGGGCTTCAACTGCACGTCTCCATTTGCTTCTGTCTTCTGCTGTACTTTTCACCTGCATACAACTTAGTCCATACTCTTTCAACTCCTCTTCACACCATCTCCTCCATGTCACACTTGCACTGACGTCCCACACGCCGCTTGCCTTTCGGGTTCCACTCGAGGGCTTGACGCGCGATGTCACCCAGCGGTCTCCTCAGCGAGTGTCCGATCCATCTCCACATTCTCCGGCATATTTGTTGGCTGGCGATTGGTTCTTGTTTTGTTTGTTCCCATAGTTTCTTGTTGGTGATTCTTTCCGGCCCGGCCATCTGATCTTCAGTATAGAGTGGAGACAGTTGTTGATAAAGTTGTGCAACAGGCTGTTGGAGATATTCTCTGTGACCCGCCCGCCAAGTTTCTGATCCGTATAGAAGAACTGACTGACTTGACGTTTGTATTGAAAATCCGACCGAATTTTGTTGTTGATACTGAGTTGAGTGACGAAGATTTCAGGTTGGTTTCAGGTTGATGATGAATGTATTTCTCGCCTTCCCGATTCTCGCTCGATTTGACATCCTCGTCCATTCCGACTGTCTGTAGTTGAGACAATGCTCCCTAGATAAGTGAATGAATGAAGTAACCTCTTTCAATTCCCTCCCGTTGATGGTGGTTGACGCTGGATGTTGCTGCTGTTGTTGTTGGTTGGTTACTTTCATCACCTCCGGCTTGTCTATGTTCACATGGAGTCCTGTCTTCGCTGGCTGCTTCTTCGACCAGTTTGTCGGTTTTCGCTTGTAAGTCTTCGATTTTGTGACAGTGACATCAAGCATAAATCATCCACGCGTGAAATCCAGGTCTTCTAGGTTCTTCACGTCAGTCCAGGATATTCCTGTCTTCTCGTTTCCCACTCACTGTCTGACGCATAATCCAGTCCACCACAATTAGGAATATCATTGGTGATAATAACCCAGCAGCCTTGTCTGACTCTTGTGTTTACTCCAAATGCCTCGCTGAGTTTTCCGTTGTGGATCACTTGACGTATGCCGCCGTTGTCGTATAGATGTCGAGTTGAATAAGGTTGATGAATATTTGGGGTACGCCGTAGTACTCGAGTAGCATCCAGATCACTTCGCGGTCAACGCTGTCGAAGGCCTTTACAGAGTGTATGAAGTTGAGGTAGATGTTTAATTACCATTCCATGCTTTGTTCTGTGATGATGATGTGTAGAGTTGCAATTTGGTCAGTACATGATTTGCCATTCTTGAATCCAGCTTGTTCCGGCAGGCGGAGTTCTGTATCCAGTGCGTTCTTTATTCTCTCCAGGATGATGCGACTCAGGATTTTACTTGGCGTCGACGGGAGCATGATTCCTCACCAGTTCTTGCAGAGTCCTAAGTCTCCCCTCTTTGGTAGCTTCACGATCTAACCCTTCCTTCAGTCAGTAGGCACCTTTCCCTCTTTCCAGACCTTTTGCAATAATGGAGTCAGCATGTCTGCTGTAGTCTCTGGGTCCGCTTTTAATGTTTCAGGGGTATTCCATCTGGTCAAGCTGCTTTTCCTGCTTTTAGAAGCTTGGTTGCATTCAAGACTTCAGCTCTTGTTGGAGGATTGGTGTCAACTTGCAGTTGTGTACGTGCTGTTGTTGGTATTTCTAGACGTTTTGTAGGAGGTGGTTTTTTCAAGAGTCCTTTGAAGTGCTCCGCCTATTGTTTAATCTGTTTTTCTTCCTTGGTGATTGGGTTCTCTTGGCTGTCTTTTATAGGTTTCGCTTGTGTTGATCTCTTCCCGGATAGAGATTTGGTTATCTGATATAATGTCCTCAGGTCTCCTTTGCCTGCTGCCTTCACAGCTTCAGTGGCGAGTTTGTCGTAGAATCGTCTTTTGTCCTTCCTAGCACTCTTCTTCACTTCTTTGTCCAGTGCTGTGTAAGTTGAGCTCAGCGTCTCCTTCTCCTGTCCGTCCTTGCATTGAATCATTTTCGCTTTCACCATTCTCCTCTCCTCTATTAGCTTCCGGGTGTCCGTTGAGACCCATTCCTTGTCTTGTCTCTTCTTTCTTCCTAGAACCGTCGAACACTTTTCGTTGAAAATCGCCCTCAGGGAGTTCCAATGTTCTTCCACGCATGATTCTTCAGTGATGTCGCGTAGTGTTTCCTGCTTTGCTCTGACAGTTGCAGTGAAAGTGTCTTTTGTGGTTGTGTCCTTCAGTAATTGAGTGTTGAACTTGCATTGTGTCCTATCTCCAGCTATCCTCGAGGCTTTTAGTTTCGCCTTGAAAGTCCCTTGTACTAGATAGTGGTCTGAACCCACATCTGCCCCTCTCCTTGCCCTTGTGTCAAGTAAGCTCCGTCTCCACTTTCTTGAAATTGAGATGAAGTCTATTTGGTTTTTGGTGTTTCTGTCTGGTGAAATCCATGTCGCCTTGTGAATATCCTTGTGTTTGAAAACGCTGCCACCAATCACCAAATCATTGAAGGCGCAGAAGTCTGAGAAGAGTTCCCTTTGTCGTTCGTTTCACCGAGGGTCTCTCGACCCATGCATGTTTTGATAAATAATCTAGTTGTGTTTGCCTCTATTTCTCCAATGTAGTCTTTTCAGAATCTTTATACATTTACTCTCCTTGACGAATTTGAATACAACAAGAACAGCAGCTTTTCCAGAAAGACGGTTCCATCATTTATTATGTTAGCTTCTCGTTGGCTGCTTAAAGCTCAACAACATTATAAAGTATATCTACAGAAGAATGGTACCGTTTTATTCTGCAAAAACAGTATTTCTTGCTTTATTCCTATTCTTTCCAATTTGCCTTTAAAAATTTGTTAGAACTTGCTCTGAAACTACAAGTGCTCGTCCTAAAAGTGCTGCTCTCCTGAAACTAAATGTTCATCGCTTTCGAAATAAACTGTCTCCTCTCTCTGATCTACATCGGCTAAAGAGGAACACACCTCAGGTAGCCCCATTCTCCTAAACTCATTTAGATGTTGACAGTATAGACGTTCGCGAACATTACGAATGTATATTTACGCAAGTTCTTATACATCAACTTCTAACTTATTTATTCTCGCGTACCAAAAACAAAGCAAAAGCCAATATTTGATCGTCCAAACTACGTGATACATTTCGGGACCAAAACAAGCCGTCAGACGAACGTTTAGCTGGCTAGTGATCGTGCACGTGACACGACGTGGTACCGAATTGCGGGGATGTTTGACCGGAAGCCTTCAGCTAAAAAAGTCGACTTAAACAGTGGTGGTCAGCATCCAATGCTGAGTGAGTGCTGTGGTCAATAATTTTGGGGAATTATTTACTGCTACACTCATATTAATACGACAGAGTGGCTGTAAAACAGTGTTTAAGGCAGAATTTCCTAGTCAGGTGTTTGATGCGTTGAGGATTAGAAGTTGCACTTCCAAATAAATACTCTATGCTGCACCGATATGGGAGGGGAGAGATCTTACACTGAATGAATTGGAGGATATTACTGAAGTGAATAGCTTTGGTGAGGAATTCTAACTTCTCCCAATTCAGTGTGGGAAAGGTTTACATATGGAGACGATTAGACTTCAGGGAGATTTTCAGCAATTAGCTGGTTTCAGAATGAATACATTAATTGGGTATGGGAGAATCCAAATTATAAGGCAAGTTACGGAATGCTAATATGCGACCACCAATAGGGGCCGATTTTACAAATGGGATAAATCTAGGAGATCGAAATTCTTGTAAAAAATTTCTAAAAGTCGTGTGCGAAAACGAAAAGGGACGTGACAAATGGTCGACAAGTGCCTGATTCGACAAACT